CTCGACATCAAGCTGCCTCCTGTGCTCCTGCAGGATCACACTTAAATTGCTTGTGATCACCACACTGCTAGAATAGGTGGTCCTCCCCTAACCCATCTTCAGCTCGGCACCCTCTGCCACCTTAGCATGCTCAAGAGTATTTCTCTATCTTCACTAACAGCCTAGCAGCCAATCCAGTGAATTCTGAAAATGCACCACATGATCCTTAGATTTTGCAAGAGCATATATGGAAGAGGTCACCAACTCCTGATTGCTCTTCAAGGTAGTATAAAAATTCTGTGAGATGACCTGTAATTCTGGATTTCCCATACCTCTGCTCCAGATGTTTTGACAAACATTTGGTATAGTAACAGTTATAGAAGCCATTGATTGATTGAATAAATATCTAACAGCCATTCACAAAATAACTCTGACTGGTAAATTTTGGACATATTTTATCAATTAGAAGCTTGAAAACAAGAATCAGAACCAGAGCTCAAGGAACCATTTCCATATCTGCTGGATGTTTTGACTCTATGTGTTTCATTTTGTCATTTTATACAGAAGAAACTCCAAGTCATTCTAATTAATTTATCTTTTGCCAAACAAGGCAGCTAATTCTATTTTTTTTCTGATGCGTGATAAGCACACTGGAATATGCAATATGTAGAGAAAAGTAACTCTGAGTAGTTCATTGCTGATCAAGCTTAATTTTTGAATGTTGTTTGGAAGCTGAAGACCTTGAGTAATTAATTTTTCCTATACCTCTACTTTCCCATCTTGTTTTTCTCATCCTCTCCTCTACTTAAGTTAGGAGAAGCCCTGCTATATCCCATTTAGAATTACACGTCCTTTGCAAAAGATCCCATCTCTTGCTCTGTAGTTTCATACAATAGCTACTTTTATGTTGTTAAATAAAACAAAGCAAGGACAGTTCTCAGGTCTGGAGGTAAAAGGCATGGCAAGGCCTGCATCCTTATATCTTAACTCTCTTTGACCTCAGAAAAGAGGATCTATGTCAGAACTGCCTCATGGAAACCATCCCTGACAGTGCTGTCACCAGCACCACGTCTGGGTCCTGTCAGATGTGTTAGCTGATACAGGCTGAGATAATGCCAGGGAGCACATCAAAAAGTATCCACTACTTCAGTCTATTCATTGACCCTATTTCATTCAACACAGATTAGTTAATGTCAATAAGCTCAGTTGGGACTAGTAGTTGTCTGAACCAACTATTTAATACAATGAGAAACTGCTAAAAATCTACTAAAAACAAAGTACCTACCACAATTAGTATTCCATATTCCTTTCTGAAGTATTTTCTGAAGTCAGTTATGCTGCTCTGTGCGTGTGTGTTATTTATTCTTTAATCAACTTTATCTGCAAGGATATCTCCTGGCATGCGACCTGTGGATGCCAGAAGTAATAAGCACTGATGGATGCAGCCTGCTGTCCAATTAAGTTGAAAAATGGTTAGGTTAAAAAAGCACTTTTCTTCACACTTGAAAATCAACACACTCACCTTTCTATTTGAGGTTAAGTTCAATTCCTCAAGGTGGATGAGGTAAATATTTGCTGAACATTTGAAATCTTTTCCGTGAGTCAAAAATGTCTGCAGTCACTAATCGCTCACTATCTTTCATCTCTGTCACTGGCAGGCAATGCAATTTCAGCACAGCAAGAATGGAGAGTTCATTGAAGGATATCTTTTCTCCTCCCTCTAGTCTCCTGGTTCTACTAATGTCTAGATTTGTCTGATATGTACACTTCTTGCCACTCCATTTTCTGTTTAGCGGAGCATAAAACAGGTGACATGAAATTTATACTCCTCAAGCATATCATTATTTGCGCAAGGCCTCAGGTGAAAATATTTAGAAAGAAATAGTTGGAAAGAAAATGAAATAAGGAAGAAGAAAAAAAAAAGATAAGAAGTGGAAAACCTGAATACTTATGTCAAACCATGAAGCTAATGTGTGGCTTTTGGAACTTAGTGCATTAAAAATAATAATAATAATTCTCAATTTCACAGAAGAAAATGGGAGCAAAATGAATTTGTGGAGAACCAAATAAGTATCCATTAGCAGATTAAGTTTTCTGTGTGGACCAATTCCACTTCATCCAGCCACAGGCAGTGCCTCTTCTAGTGTCAGTGTTGTATTCTAATCTTAGTTTAACGAGCAGCAACTCAAAGATCAGAGCATTTTATACTACTCCCTTTCCTGGGTAGTTTCACAGGAGAAATTAGCTGCACAATCCATCATTTATTGAGCTATTTAGATGTAGCTTCTTCTCCTCTGAGTGGTTTGAATCATCTGTTCATGGCAAAGTCTTCCTAAAAGCCCCTATATAATGCCCAAAGAAATCCTCCTTATACTCTGGCTGTGTTTGTTAGATGTAGCTTCTTCTCCTCTGAGTGATTTGAATCATCTGTTCATGGCAAACTCTTCCTAAAAGCCCCTCTATAATGCCCAAAGAAGTCCTCCTTATACTCTGGCTGTGTTTATCTTAGTTCCAGTGTCAGGTCCAGGTGAGTGCCTTAAGCTTCACTCCACAAACTCAGCCTAGCTCTGGGCCAGACAAAGAACTGGAAAAAAAAAAAAAAACACCTCAGCATGTCTAGATTCTGGGAAATGCAGCTCTATATCCCTGCAGGATCTCAGGAGGCAAAGGCATTGCGGTCATACATCGCACCTCCCACCCTTGTCAGGTGGCTTTTCTGCAAGCTGCCTGCTTTTTATTTTTTTTGTTTGCTTTGGATTTTTTTTCTTCCTAGCAATTCTCCCATGGCAAAAGGACAACACTTTTGATAGAAGGAACATTTCTGTGGAATTTCTGTGGACCATTCTACAACCTCCTCTACTCCACACGAGTCTTGCTGAACTGAAACAAACCTTCACTTCTGCATAAGTGACTAAAATAAAAGCAAAATCCTTAGCAGGCAAAATTGGATGTTTAGTTGCTGATTTTAATACCAGATCTGAACAAATCACTGAAAGAAGAAGCAATGCTTCTAGATCCTGGATCTTCCTATACCTCTTTTTTTTTTTCATTCTTTTTGAACACTTCTATGTCCTGAAATGCCTCTGACAAATAAATTGCATGGTTTTGCCCCAGACTAGAATCTGCATATATTTGTCCAGTGGAATTGTAAACATTTTTTATTTGTCTGTTTTAACTTCAAAGAGTTTAGATTTTTAATTTCTGAAAGAAACTTCAATATGATGACTGAAAGTCACGTAGTGAATAATAATTCTCTTTATAATTAAGCATGGCAATTTCCACTACAGCTAGAAAAAGAGTTTTTTTATTTCATTTTGGGTTTTTTTTTTCATTGAAAAAAGACAGTTCTCTCCAGACCCTGCTTTATTTTGAAGAGCTCTAAGCTGTGTTGCTCCAGTATTATTCAGAGTCCTTAATCATAAATTTTTTTCTGAGGACTACTTCTAGCAGTTGTGCATAAGCAAATCCCATACAAAATTAAGTGTGCTTTGGAATCTGCAAGCCACCATAGATATTGAAAATGATACTTTGGTACTTCTGAATTGATCAGATGCTGCAGTGATGTGACAGCTCCTTGTGTTTAGGAGAGAAGAAGACAGCACAGGTCTTTCAGCTGGCAGCTGTTCCAGACTGATATAGTGGAGTAGCATTTGCTACACTTTGCTCTTTATCGCTAGCAAGATTGTTTTTCCAACTAAGCTGGTCATCTAGAAAGTCTCTGTGCAAGCCTTTTTTCTAGAATGTGACTTCTTTGAGCTGCTTTAAACATTCTTATTACAAATAATGCCTAAGAAAGCCTTATTTTTCTTCTTTGACTATAATGGAAATCATGACAACTAGCTCACATGAAAAGATGTAAAAAGGAGGTATCTCACTATATTTAGGTGGTTCTGAAACAAAGGGCTGAGAAGGGACTTCTGAAGTCCCTTCCAAAATCAGGCTAGAAAAAGATCAAGATAATCCATAGAAGAGTCTGCAGAGCAAATGCATTTGAAAAGCAGGGCAGCAACGGCAACTGCTTCCTCTTTTGCACAGGGTGGAAGGGTACTTGGGCACCACAGGCTGCTTGGTGGACAGAGGCTACCATCAAAAAGAGTCTGAACTTCCTGGCTGCCCAGCCAGCTGGGCAGAGCTGCATTTCTTACATGTTAAACTAAGTCTCCCACCAAGGCAGCTAGTTTCACTGACACCATTTTATTCCTTTTCCTGCACTGTTCACAAGTTCATCCTTCTAATATCTACTACCAGAAAAGCAACAAAACACATAAGGTGACTGCTGCTGGGCTTGTTTTGTGGATGAGACACTCGGCTTTTCTTATCTCCTCTTAGGGTCCCTCTGCTGATATGTGGGAAATAAAGAAAAGCATACTTTTTTTTTTTCTCTCTCTTCAAAACTATCCCAGAGTATTTTCTCAATGGATAAATGTATCTGAGTGAATTTACCTCTCTCCTGTTCATAGGAAACCAAGGACCAACTGTAGTCACAACATGCTATTATTATTAAGCTCCACATAAGACAAGAGACCACCTATGCATTACCTGCAAGGCGGTAGGCGCAAAGCAGCGCATTTGCTCCAGTTAACAGTCTCTCCCTTTTGAAGAGACCTCTCTGTAGATGCCTAACCCCGAGGTCAGATCATCTCTTAAAATAACGTGCCTCAAATAAGATATAGCTTCAGGATGTGTATTTACATGGGTAAATGTGGATGTTCAAGATGTGGGTTAAAGTGATGCAAACAAAGTGAAATGACATAAATCTGAGACTTGTGTGTTGGTCTTGCCTTACACAGTGTTGTTACTAGAACTGGCTAAACAGTCTTGTGTTTCTCTGGAGCACCTTTGCAAGAGATGCATGCCTGTTGCATATGCACCACGAAGAGATGCCCACTGCTACTTTCTATCTTTTGGATACATACGTGTCTAGGAGAGATGACGAATACATGTTTTATGCATACTTGCCTGGACTTTTATTTTGCACTACTTGGGAAAGAGACCGGCTGTAGTTACACAGCATTACTCACCTGCCCAGCAGCAGAAATTCCCCAGCGAGTCCCAGGCGCCTCATGGCCATCAGCAGCCCCCTCACAGTCATCCCCTCGCAGAAGCAGGCGACCACCCTGGCCTTGGGCAGGTGGCTCCGCAGCTTCCGCAGCAGTTTGTCGAAGCTCTGCTCCCCGGCATTGCTGTAGATCTTGTAGGAATGTGCAATGCAGATTCCTTCCTTGGCCGACATGTCTTTGAAAGCTTCCATTCCACTTTCACCATAGTTTCCTGAATGCAAATGGAAACATATAGGCAGGTATTAAGGTTTGCAGACATTCTGCTTGCTTCAGAAAGAATAAATAATTTAAAGGATACATAATTCATTTGCAGAGGAATCAGTATGTCAATATTTTACAAAATAACGTTAATATTTTAACTTATTTGTCTATTTTTTAAGTCAAGACCAACAAAGCTTCTTAGGGACCTCAATCGTGATTACTTATCTGTATCTCTCTTGAAACCGAAGGCTGTCAGGCACCTGAATATCTGTGTATATCTGGTCTGCAATAGTGTATGTATAAATTACATATGCCCTTCTGAGTCTCTTGACTGAAAGTGATCATTTGCTCTGGGGTTTGCTTAAAAAAAAACACCCCAAAACTAAAAATATATATTTAGAATGTATTTTTAGGTACAGCACTTTGAATACATGCAAAACAAAACAATCACTTGGCAATGAAGTCTGCACAACAACGATATTTTAAGCACAATGAAAGGTAAAAGTTACCCTTTGATGAATTTTTTTCTGGTGACTCAGGAGAATGTGTGGCAAAACTGACAATTAGTATTACTGAGATCAAAGGATCACAGATCAACTAAATGTACTTTTGTTTGTTTTTGGTTTTATCTTTTTTAATTAAATGTCAATCAATGCAATGGGTCAATCTTCATGTTTTATTTCAAGCTATTTCTCCTTTCCAGAAAATCTAGCAATTAATATTTACACTTATTGTTTTTTTATTCTATGTCACTGTAGAAAATTTCTTCCCTGCCAGGCCTAAAGAAAAATCACAGTGCTTAAACAGTGGGTATAGTGATACCACTGACAGTCACATTGACCAAGACTGTACTTTTGCTTCCCTGTGCTCCTCCATCTGGCTTTCTAAATCTGTTTCTTGTCTCATTTAAATCAGAAGACCTTTAGGGTAGAAGCTCTCTTTTCTCCAAAATATCATTTTAAGCACTGAGTAGTATTCCACAGAAATAAAAACTAATAAGACTGACTAATAAGACTGGACTGCTAAGGCCTGATATATGGCACTGCTTATTCTTTACTTATTTTTGTCAGTTTTTAAGCAAAAGAAACTGTGTAAGAGAAAACTTCCTTTTCCTACAAGCGTGAGAATATAAAAGCACTGACAGTGAAAAGTAGTGAGACCTGAAGAGTTGGTTCTGTCAGTCTTAAACTGTTTTGGGGACTCGGGCATTGAATCCACCAGGACTTTGTGTGCCCATCTGTGAAATCATCCCTTTTACTCTGGCGCTAGACTTTAGAGGCCGAATTAGACTCAGCACTGTATATAACATAAAACACACTGCCTCGTTTGAAGATCTTACCATGTGAATAGTCCAAAAGAGACCAACAGTGGAAGAAAGGAAATACCATTTTCCTCATTTCACATCAGGGATGGATCACTGAGACCTTATGAGATTTCCCCGTGGTACTCAACCAGAACAGCAATCTGAATGCTGATCCTCTTAGCTAACTGCACCAACTTCCATTTTCCTCTCTGCTGTGATAAGGCCTGATGGAAAATCCATTACTACTTGTCATGCCTGGACAAAATGCCATAGGATTTTTAAATACAGTTGTTGCAGTGCTTCCTGGGAGCTGAAAATCAGATTCCCCATGCTTCCCTATGTGTCATGCTTTGAGGACAAGCTACATTTCCTGTGATGCATCCACATCAAGTGATTCCCATGAGACTGAAACAGTTCAACCAGAGGGCAAGGATGTGGTACATCATGAAAGAGGCAGTAGAGCTTGAGAACTCAGAATGAAGGAAAAATTCAGGTTGGTCATTTACAACTCCCATGAGACCCTGAGGCCATCTAAATTAAAATTAAGCTGTTTGACAGGAAAATCACTGCTTTGTTTAAAAATATTCTCACTTAGGTCCATTTCAATCAATGCTAAATATTTTGTTTGGCTTTCCAAATAAAAAGTAAAAAAGACCAAAAAGGCAGCATATCGAACTTTGCCATGCAGCATTTTGTAGGATTTTCGTGTAAAAATGTTCCATGTTATAGTACCAAGAAGTGGAAATTCTGAAGGCTTCATTTTCTGTCAAAAAATATCAATGGAGAATTCTCAGTCAGGTCTAATCAACTTACAGAACTAGAACTCTGCAGCATTCCAAACACTGAACCCTTTGTTTAAAAGTGTTATGAACGTACAAACTGTTACCCTAAGGCTTCCTATAAAGCTGAGAATAGGTTTAATTACAATACTGAAATAAGTAGTTGTTCTTGAAATGAACAAGAAATGCATTAACTCTTTTGCAATCAAGTGAATGCTGCTCTGGCACAAATAATGTGATCTTATCATGTATCAAGGCAGAGCTACTTTGTGAAACCACATAGAAAGCACTGCCTCATCTAAAATGAGAGGAAGCATATAAAATACCAAGGCTACTTAACAAAGAAGTGCTTTGTTTTTAGCATTCAGAAGAAAAACATCCTGACATTCTAAATCTGAAAGTGGCTGATTTCTCCTACTGGGAAAACCAGAGCTGCACAACACCAGCTCATGGGAGTTTTGATGAAAACAGAAAGCAGCTTTGCTTCAAGATGCTCATACAAATATTCCAGTGGAGCTCTTGTCATGATAGTTGCTGATTAAACTCTACTTAATTAATTATTCATAGTGAATTCCCTGGTTGTAGAAGAGGTTTGATGAGGTATGTATATTTAATCCGAGCTATACTGTGGGGATAATGAACACTCCTTGATGGAAAAAAAAAAATCTTTTCTATAAAATCCCGTTTATCTTACTCTGACCTATCTTTCTAAAGAACGTTTGTGTGTGCATGAGTCTACAGATGCAGCATTAATAGGAATGGAAGTAGGAAGCTGTAGAATTGCATTATATCACATTTCCTAGGGAATGAGATGGAAGATTTGCAGCGGGAGGGCACCTCTGTGCTGTTGGTATAGTCCCTCACAGATTTTTGATTCTTGAGGTTTGTCTTTTCTACACCAGCAATAGCAAAACTTCCACAGCTAGAGCAAGGAACAAGATTCTGCCCAGAGGCCAGTTCCCAGTTTTCAGCCAGGTCTATGAAAAAAGGAAAACACAGATTTCTGATCTCGTACATGTGAATGTGCAAGGCTGGAACTTAGGAGGACTGAGTCTCAGAAAAGGAGATTTTTGGTTTCATTTCCAAATTAGAATTGTTTTAGAAGCCCTCTCCTAGAACCCAGGTGACTTGGTCTGCCAGTTCTATGGGACAAAGCTACCTGTTTTCTAGAAATCTATCCATTCTGCTTCTAAATTTAATAAGACATCCTAAAAATAAATAAATAAATATAAGGGAGGAATTAATTTCAGTTGGCTCATTCCAATTCATCACAACAGACTCAAAAGAACAGAAGGTAAAACTGAAATGAAATGCAGTGCATTTCAGCTCCCAACCAGACTCCATCTCCACGTCCATTTTAGGGAGCCAGGACCTCTATACTGGTTCTGCTGGAGGAGGTAGCACAGGATGCTCCTCAGCTCTTGAAATTTTGCCTGTTGGTAGCAAAATCCAAGTTGCTAACTGTTGCCTTTTTGAAATATGTCCTATACTTACATCAGCAACTGTGAGCTGGGTTCTTTCAAAATGCCAGCCTGAATCCTGGGTGTTGCCTACCTGCAACTCTGGCCCTAAGCCCAGCTCAAATGCGGCTCCCATATGGCTCTGCATGTTTAAAAAAACCCATTGGTTACATCATCATCCATATCCCTGCTTCAGACTGTAATTTTGCTCTAAACTAAAGCATATGCATTCCCACCTACAGTCTAACTCTAACAGTATGCTAGTTCCACTTCCAATGAATCAGTACTAGAAACTATTAAGAATCCTAAGAAGAACAGATTGTGCTTTCTTTCATGATGAAGCTTAATATAGAACAGTACATAATAATAAATACTTCAATCTGGTAGAAAAGGGCCAGACAAACTGCAGGCTGCCCTTGCTACTCCTCTTGCCCAGTCAATTAAACTATCTTAACATAGACCATTAAGTTCTTATCTGCATTTCACTGTAAAACAAAAAAGCTTTATAGTAAAAAATAATATACTGACATCTGCTCTATTACACTAAAGGTTATCAAAATGAGGTAACAAAATCCCTATAGTCTAATAGAATAATCAGCTACATTTTCTCATACTCAGGGATTTCTGGAATATCATACTTTTTTTTTTTAATATAAGAATCTTTTTGTCATTATCTAGATCTGGAAATTGTCATTAGATAATTGTTTAGTCTACAAGAGAGTTTCAGTGAATATAAATGAGAACCAGCTTTTCAGAGAGATTTAGGATGTAAAATTGCTATAGGCAACATGCAGTGAAAATTCACAAAGCAAAAGAGGAAGCTCAAGTGAAATTGAAGAAATATATTATGTCATTTATTTAGCTGGTAATAATCCTACCTATCACAGAGCATATTTATTGAAGTAGAAGTACTACCATCATTTTTATAGACAGGGAAGCACAAAACACAGAATAATATTCTGTGCTGTGTCTGAGACCCACAAAAGCCAAGTCAGGTTAAATTTCTCAGAAGACGTTTTGGAAGCAGCACAGGGAATTTAGAGCTGCATTTTTTATTAGATTTTATTGGCATCAATAGGATGAACTTTGCCAGAAATATCTTAAAAAAAAAAAAGTAGGTATGATGTTGAAAATGCATGTGGGAGCAATGGAAGAAATTTATGAAAGGCAACAGTCTGTCTGATTGTCAAGATGATCTTCCTGAAAGTCAAGGATATGAATGGTTTCCCAAATGGGAATGTTAGCAGCCTCTTTGACTATTACACTTAAGATTAATTACGGCAAAACAACAAGAAATTACCCTGTACCTTTGAGATACTCTCCACTTTTATCAGCCATGATTGCATGAGCCTTCTGAAGTTTAATTACTGCTAGCAATAAGGACACAATATCCTTTTTGTTTGTTGGTTGGTTTGTTCATTTTCTTGCGAATAACTATGTTATGCCTCTGAGATAACAAGATGAAAATCACAGCCTTCCTGATACAGTTCTTCTCTGAAAATAGAACTATTCAGGGTTTGAATGTTTTGTTCTATGGGAAGGGTGGCAAATTTTATTCTAAATGGTACAAATCACATGAAATCAAATCAAAAGTGCCAGAAATCCTGGAGCTGCCTGTATGTACTAAAAACTAAGGAACTATAAGCCATTTTAATCTTATTAAAATATTTTATTTTGATGATTCTTAAATGGGAATATATAAACACACTTATATATATAAGTTTGCATAGAACTTGTAAAATAAAAAAGTAATTTTGACTGTAGTCTGCTGAAATATGCCTTTTTTACAGGTTTCTTTCAAGAGGGATTGCCATTGGCACTAATATCTTTCTTTCTTTTAATAAATCATCATTTTCCCTCAAAATAAATTCTGCTTAAATGTCTCCAACTAGATCTTTTTCTTAATAATTGCTTTGAGACTGGGCTGCTCCACTTCAATTACCTTGTGTGCTAGACAGTAAGTTCTTTTTTATAAGATGTTCAATCTGAAAGTCTTAATTCATGCAAATGTATTCTGTTTTTTTTTTTTTTTTTTTTTTTTTTTTGTTATCTCTTTTTTAAAGTAAATCTCTAAGAATATGGAGATAAGCAGCCTAAAGCTGCTCTGGTAAAATGGAGTAAGTCTGGAGCAGCTCTGATTGATTGGGTTTCCATCAATGTGACTCTATTTTGTGTTTCTAATGGTGAGCCCCCTTTGGAGCAGCACATCAAATCCGTAATGGAGGAAGCGGCTTCTTCAAAGGGTCATACCGAATTCTGGTAGGCAGATGAGATGAAAGACCTCCTTGATATGGCTTGTTATATGTAATTAACATTTGCAGATGAGAGTAGTTTCCTGCAAGGCTATGTTCTTTGTCAGGACATATCAAGAAGATGCATCTTTTTTCTTTTTGTAGAACTAGGCAATCATGTTAGTGCAAAGTTATTCTGGAGAAGTGACTACGTAAGCAAGCTGCCAGGTAATATTGGCCGGATGTATCTCAAAGACTTAGAAACAAATAATTTGATGTGATTAATTTAACAAAACTATTTACTCCACTCTTAAACTACTGTATTTGCTTTTCTTGAACACAGACCACCTTAAAATAATTCAGAGTATAGGATATAACAGTTAAGGCCTTAAAAAGCTTTTAAAAACTCAATATTGGTTAAGAAATTGTCTTTATTATTCTTACTGTCTTTTACTATGTTCTTACTATGACCTTACCAGATCACACACAACTCACATATCTTGTCTTATGTTCATCTTTTCTATGCACACTGTAAATTTTTGATCAGCATCTATCTCTTGCTAAATGTTCATAAAACACAGACGAAAAAGAGCCCCAACATCATTTATTGCTTGAAAGATGAAGATAATAAAATTAAAGACACATCCATATAAAAGAGCATAAATTACCACAACATCACGCTAACATTTTTCGAGATTTTTTTAAAACTTTTTAGATTTGAGGACAAGAAATGTCTTCAGATTCTCAAAAATATTAGTCAAATAACAACAAAAAAACTTCCTTTTTTTCCAGCAAAAAGGTTTCATGGAAAACCTTTTAGCATAGCTCCACTCACTAGGACTCCTTTTAAATAACTATCATTAAATCCTTTTAGTGAATTAACAACACAGTATACACAACACATACCAGAACTGTAGTTAATTATTTTAGATATACCTGTTCTTTATCTCCCTCATCTAGCAACGCTCAGAAAAAAATCTTTAAGAAAATGATGACTGAGTTCTGCAGTTTAATGCACCTCACTTACTTCTATTTACTTTTAAAATGATCACTTCATAATTATAAAAGAAGGACTCATTAATAAAACACTGTTGTTTTCTGAGAGTCAGGAAGAGTCTCAAAACAATCTTTCACGTACTTTTCCTTGAAGACTCATCACCTTTGATCTTTTTTGATAACTGGATACAACTTGGGCTTTGTGGCCTTGTTCATTGAATGATATTTGAAGTCCTTCGTGATGTTAATGTCTGCTAAAGGATTTTAAGCTTGACAGATTTTGTTGAAATATGCTGCCATCTCTGACCACTCTTCTTCTTTTCATTCTGAAGAGGTTAACAACTTTCTCCAGTTTCTTTTTGGAAGGTAGCTCTTTCTCTTCACCTGACTCTAAGATATTTCCCTTAGATACCTCCTGTATCAATTCATCATTCCATTGCCAAATGAAATCTTCAAGGAAAGCACAGTTTTTTTAGTAACCCCAGAGATGTTCTTTGTCCTCTTTCATTTGCAGGATCACTTTAGCATTTTATATATATATATATATTTATATATAAAAATATATAAATATATATTTGTATATATTTATTTATATATATATATATTTGTCATCTAGAAATGAAGTCACCTGACACTGCTGGTATTTAAACTGAAATAAGAGATAAATGCTTTTCAAAAAGGAAAGAATTTTACAGTGGGAAAACTTTGGTCAATGATGAACTGCAACTGCCTTTAGTTCCCGAACTGACATTTGGACCCAATAGTGTTTTATGTTTAGCCTATTAATTATTATATCTCTCAGCAAGGGTTGGCTGCTTCCACAAGTGAATATCACTCTTCCATGTTTTCCACCTAGAACATATCTGTGTCCTTCACATATATTATTATTTCTCAACTCTTCTATGGTTTGTAGCTGTTCTTTTTAAAATACATTTTATGCCCTACTCTGTTATGATAGTAGCTGAGCACTACCAAAAGTCATTTTGTAAAAATAAGTATATAATTAAGTCATTAGTTTGCCTCTGAAGGCCATTAACTTCCCTTTTGTCTTTTGGTAAGTGTCCCTCTTTATGCCCTAATTCTTCATATGTAAAATGAAGATAAGCATGTTTTTCTATCATTGGTGCTGGGAGGAGAAATGTACTATATCTCGAGAGAAATTCAAATAATGACAGTAATGAGGGTAACATATTTACCCCGAATAAAGCAATAAACTGAATTAAACCTGATGTGTTTGCCCCACAGAACCTCACATTTGTTTAGTGCAACAACTCCATCATGTTTATTTTAACAGGAGTCACACTATATCTAGTGTTTTTCCAGTAATAGCATTTAATATTTCCTGCAGCAAAAGCAGGTGATGGTAAAGTTATTCCTAAGGGAGATACAGGTGATTTTCTGTTAATAAGTTCAAACAACACAACCAAGTCAGAAACTACTAACACCAACTTCTTGGATAGGGATAAGATAGTAAGAGGCCAAGGGTGAAAACAAAGAACAGAACTATTCTCTCTAGAATTTCATAAATTCCTTCAATATATATTGAAAGTTCTTTGAAAGTTTTTTGCCCCACCTCTGCACTTTAATATTTAAGCATACAAGATCTAAATCCTACTAAAATAATTTGTACTGTTTCAGATGACTTTCTTGGGCTTTAAATTTGACAGATCTGCTAGCATTCCACAATTCTCTACAAAATGGTTAAAAAAAAAACTATTAGCATTTTTTAAAAATGCAAAATTCACAAATTCCAAGCAAGTTAAGAAATTGTTAACCCTAAAAGTGAGCCTTATCATCAAGGCCATATAGCAATAAGGATATGTATGCATTTCTTCAATGTAAATATTTGAATATTAAAAAAAGTAGTAACTTAAATACTGCATACAAGTTAGACTCTTTTTCAGATGCACATTTTACAAAATGGAAAGCTAATGGCAGCCCAGAAACAGACCCTTAGCCACAGAAAATCAAAAAGCATAGGTCAAAGTATACTGTAGTCCAAACATCTTCCCTAGAGCACAGTAACCTGCCCTAGATCAAAATAATAACTAGCTATTAGATAATTCCATAGTAATTCTTGCTTTAAAAGCTCTTTTCAATGGTGGAGTTTACATAGCTTCCTTGGGCTACTTGTTCCAGACTGAAGTAGTTGTTTCATGAGTTTTTGTCGCCTAATTTCTAATGTATTTGTTCTTTTGCAATTTAAGCCCATTGCATTTTATTATATGAAATATAAACATAGACAATAGCTTCTCTAATTAACTTTTTCAGAAGCTCTCAATATGACCCCATCGTATCTGCCCTTAATTTTCTTTTTCTTATATTATATATAAATATATATATATATATAATATTTCCCTGATGATCCTTTTTTCTAAACTTCTTACCATATTTCTGACTTTCAAATAATCTCCATTTTCATCATATTTCCCAGCAAAAAGGATGCACAGTTTTTGAAATGACATGGTGCCATGTGATTCCTCACAGTGAAAGCAGCTGTTCTAAGTATGTAAGGGGTACATTATTCCAGGAGTAGATATTTGTATTTGTTTCTACTGAAATATATATTATTTTTTCAGATCTTATTTCATTTTGGCTCAGCCTAATTTGTTAATTTTGTCTTTCAGTCTACTTGCAGTGACATACAGTTTGGTACTGTCTATAGATTTAATAACCATACTTGGCTTATCGTCATTTCAAGTAGTATTGGAAACAGCAATTAAAAAGGGATTCAAGGCAGATCTTAATGAGGCCATTCAGCATATCTTTCCTATTAGAAAGGTAGTGAGTAAGAAATAACCTTTCAGTAAAGCTTTAGAATCAGTTGTACACCTATCATAAGAAATTCTACATTTAACATCATATCTCTGTGGTATGCTTATAGAAATGACCGTGAGAGATAATCAAAACATTTGTTGATTTTAAAATAGTCTCTCATTCTTCAAAAAGCCTCTGAGAAAAATGTGCTAGATTCTGTTGATATGTTTTAATTTTGAAGAACACACATTGACTTTTCTTTACACCATCAAAAAAGGAATTGTCCATTTCTTTTAGACACTAGTTTATATGTTACAGTATTTTACTAAAATGTGAAATTAGGTTGCCTGAGCT